CCCGCCCACCTGCGGCTTGTGCTGCTGCCCCTGCTCCCGGCCTCCCGGCCGGCATCCCAGAATTTCACCAGGTCCCGCAACCCGCCACCGACCCTGCGGACACCGACTCCATCGTCTTTCGGATGCAAAAGTACTTCACCACCGCTTCTCTTGAGGAAGTGGCCAAGTTCAAGAAGGAGAAGGCCGGGGTAAAGATTTACACCGTGAAGGAAGGGTCGATCCCAGACCCTGCCATTGGCGGGCGCAAGACCGGATTGCCCGTGGCTCGGATTGGGGAGGCGGTGATCAATGCTCCTTTGGAACAGGTAATGGGCGGGATGAGAGGGAGGAAGGGGGTTAGCGTGGCGGACGAGGGCGGGGTAAGGGAAGGGAGGGGCGACCGCGATGGCCCCTCTTGGGATACAGGGATCGGCCGTGCCTTGTGGACGGGGGCTACTTGATGGCATAGAAGGCAGTGGTCACATTGTCTTTCATAGGATTTAACGGCTCGCACGCCACCTTGCTGGCACAGGTTGCAACCTTGTGGTGGGTCTTTAACGGGCGGATTTTGTGGGACAAGGTGAACACCCTGGCTTCCGAAGTGGTGGAAGAGTACAAGAACGCTCGGCTGGTGTACATCAAGGGCACCCCCAAGCCGATGATCAGCTCCAGGGATTTTGTCTTCGTCAGTCACAAGTGAGGGAGGGAGGGAGGGAGGGAGGGAGGGGAGGAGAAAAAGATCGTGTAGCTCTCCCTCGTGGGCTTGCTGCTGTTATTTCATCTGCAAGAGCCGCAATAAGCATATCTCGAAAGCGTGATTCGTAGCCTAGGTTTGTGGAAACTGTTGAGGACTCATCTGCATATCCTCTTATAACGCCTTTTTTCCCTCCTCTTCTCCCTCTCCCTCCGTCCGACCCTCCACTTTCCTCCCTCCGTTTGTCAGAGTGCCTGCCGGCGACTTGGGTGGCTCTTTCGGAGCCCAAGCATTTGTGCAGACCAACGCAGCGAACACACTTCCTGAAAACAGCGGGGCCGTACGTGGGAATATCAACAGCATCATCCTCTTGGAACCCGTGGATGGGTACACCACACGTGTGCGCTACGTGTGCGAGATCGAACCCAAAGGATGGCTGCCCACCATGGTAACGGAAAAAAGAGGGAAATCAAAGGGCTGCCGGGCGTGGATGACCTGGGCGATGCTCGGATCTGGGAGCGTGACGCATGCACTCACTCTACCGTCCACTTTTTTATCCTCACACACACACGTTCCACGCCTGGTGCACAGGCGGTGGAAGCGGCGGCCGACGACTTACCCGGTGTTTTGGGCGTGATGAAGGCGCATCTTGAATCTGAAGCGACGGGTGGGAAGGAAGGGAGAAGGAGAGGGAGGGCAGATTCGCGCGTGTAGGGGAGCCAGCCGTGCGCGTATCATCTGACGCATCTCGTTTTTGTCCCCTTTCTTCACAAGCTTAGAGGATGCAGAGGCGCTGGTTCGGAGACGAGCAAGCCTCCGGGAGAAAGATCACACGGTAGGACTCAATGATGGACTTGATTCTCGCGCCCTCGGTCCTCATTTTTCTTGTTTCTTACTGGTTTCCTTCAGTCCTTTTCTTTCAAAAAATCCTTAACCCCTGTTTTATCTGCGGCGTACGATTCAGCATCCCCTTCTAGTTGACAGCGTGACCGCCAGCAGAGAAGATCTTCTCGCCTTGAAGAAACTGCTCCAGACAAAGCTAGAGGAAGCGAAACGCGATGAGAAGAAATTAAATCTGAGCCTAGCGGAATTGAAAAGCAAGATACAGAACGATCTTAAGAAGGTAGAGGCGAGGTTGAGGGCAGGTGGAAAGTGAAGAGAAATAGGGGCGAAATAAAGGAGGAAAATGTCAGTACAATGTGCGGATTTGCGATACGACCGTGTCGGTCAGGGGCGTAGGCGAAGGAAGGAAAAAATCAAACAAGAGTTTTTCGTCATGTTTCTTCACGATTGGCCGCATCGGGAACGTAAAAAAAGCCAATAAAATAGTAAAGGATGGGTATTAAGCATGTGTTGTTAGCTTCCCGATGATTCAAGACTCTATCCCTTTAGCCCACCCTCTCGACCGTTTCTCGGATTTGAATTTTGAAATCGCCAACTGACACCTTCGCCCTTCGTGTAATGGTTTGTCCTGTGCACAACATTCGTTTTCCCCCAGTTACAGTATCAATATTGTACCCGTAAGACACATAAATTTGCATGTAACATATGTATTTTTAATTTTAATACAACAGGGTTTCGTGCCCCCCCTTGGTGGAAAGATCTTTGCTTTTTCATTGGTTGAAGTGGAGGAAGAGGAAGGTGTCAGAGCCTGCATATCATGTCGTCGTTCGCCTCCCTCCTCTTCAAGAAACCATTGCTCACGGGAACCGCGGCACTAAGCGGAAGTGTTGTTACCATTTGGAACTGTAAAGCGTCATCAGAGATGCTCCCCGGGAGCATGGAGGATAAAGGGACAAAATCGGGCCTACACACAACACAAGTTGCCTATGCGCTATTTTCTCCTCGTGGTATTGTCCGAGTCGTGCAATCGAGTCCCAAGCACTGCACAGATCGTCCAGTCCTATCGCCTTCCCTTGCCACAAAGGGTCTAAGAAAAGAGAGGAAGGGAATTTTCCTCCGACAGGATTCCAAACGGGCTTACACTTTCACCTCGCCACGCGGTATCTGCATCTCTCAAACGACCCCCAGGGGAGGAGGTACGGAGCCCATCCTCCATGTACAATCCCTTCGACAAGATCCCCTTAATAGTATCCTTCCTACTGAAAAGGCGGGGCGTTTGTAGTCGCAGTGCAGCGCTGACAAACACCATGGAACGCTACTCCGATAGATGCGTGTGCTACTCCGTCATTCCTCGCATTTAGCGGCTTCCCATCGTCGCTTAATCTTTCTTTGGGATAGGGTTTAAGAAATCTATATGCGCAAAGATTCTATATCTTTTGCTCATAGTAGCCTCGATAGCAATGGTACTGGAGGCAATACATTCATCGGAAGAGGTACAGGGATGAAGTATAGATGACTTGGAGAAATACGAGGTAAGGGCCGCCATCGACGAGCAAGAGTTTACACAATAACATCAAAAACTAAGCACATTTGTGAGCAAGTACTGGGAATTGTGACTTGGTTGCATTAAATTCAAGTTTCTCCACATTGATGTCGTGCTTTTCAAGTATTCACTCTTCACAAAAACCTTTTTTCGTTTGGTTGATCTCTGTATTCACAAGCCAAATTTTCGTTTTCTTTCCGTATTTTTAATCCTTTCATTTGAATTTATTTTAACATCGACGTGTTGGCCGCAAAACTTTTTTCAGTCCATTATTTCTCAATGTCCATCCATCCATCCTGTTCTTATCCTTTTTCTTCCCGATTTTTGCTACTCATTTTTCCTCGTCTACAAGCCCTCACGAGAATCTCGACACAGCTACTCGCCTTTTCTCTTTTCTTTACATACGTAACCATTAATTCCCATTGTCTTTCTACGAAACGTATTTTAGTGGCGTCGTGTCTCCCTACGGACGTGCCATTCAAATGGATGGCGTCACTCCTTCGTCGAATTGCTACTTGTACCTCCCCACCCCCTTGGACGCAGCCTCTCTGCACACGTTTACAAAACCATTTCCTAACATGAATGCTTCGTTGTCACAGATAAAAGCTGGCCGTTGGCGCCGATGCTAGCAAAGGGCTCCACAACGCTTTACATAGTAAGCTTTTTGGCAATCCTCCTCTGTCCTCACGCCTTTTTTCGATCGACATTACATGCTACAAGAAATTCGCATCTCCCTGTGACAAGATCATTTACGATTATGGCATCTTCCAAAGCCTCCACATCCGATGTCACGGTATCTAGTGTCGAGGGCATGCAGCAATTGCTCTTCGTGCAGGTAAACAAGAGTATGTTTTATGCAAGGACTGATTTTTGTACCATAATTTTTTACCTCACAGTTCTCATCCGTTATTATCAGATGGGCTTTGGGTGCGATCAACATGGGCAAGACGCCACCAAAGCGGCCGTCAAGGCCTGTCGCAACGCGATCGAGTGGAATTCGCTTCCGTCGATAAACCAGATCGTCCCAGGAGGGTACGATGCCATGAAAGTAAGTGGGACAGGGTCACCTAGACAACGATCCTATCCTACGGTAATGTTTGATACCTCTCCATTATGTGAGGACAAACACTTAATCCCCTTTGTTGTTCCGGTCCGAGTCGATTTGGCGGAAAACTTGCTATCAATGTGTTAAGCTCTTGTTTTAACCTGTAGGTGCGTGTGCAGATAGCCGTGCCAGTGGATGCGTCAAACATCGACACAGAAGCCATCAAAAAAGCATTTCCATACGGTCAGCTCTTACCCGTAGAGATCCAAAGCGGGGGAATGCGTGCGTCGAGTGGCATCGCCTTGCCGGCCATGGGCGACCGGAATGACGATTGGATCGTGGCGATTGCCGCAGTGTCCGTAGGATGGTGAGAGTCGACTAGTACGGCGTCCTCCTGAGGAAGGCCAGTAAGGCACTTTTTGGAGGGTCATTGGGAGGTCCGACAAGACCGAGGGAGAGAAGGGAGGTGCAGTCACTGGGGATGCTGTCAAAGAAGGCAAGCACGGTGGATGTGAAGTAACAACTACATAATGCGACCCTGTCGATGGACCTGATCGACGTTTTCTGATATTTGAGTATTTCGGTAGCATGTCACCTAGCCCACCAACGTTCTGAAACATCGGGTGCGTGGCCCGCCCTTCGGCTGTCTTCTCCCCCTCTCCTTTCTTCTTACTTGCCTTCCCCTCCGACCGTCCCGGGCCCCTCCTCCCATTGGACGCATGCCGCGACCGACCCCTGTACACGTTTTTTTGTGCGGTTCCCTCCGTCCTCCCTTCCTATTCTCCCTCCCTCCCTCCCTTCCTCCTTCCCTTGACCCACCATGTCCCCCCCATCCCTCCCTCCCTCCCTCACACTCTCCCCCCTCTCCCTCCCTCCCTCAACTCCCCACGCCCAACCCTCTCTCCATTTCTACCAATATTTCGGGGGTGATCCCACTCCCCCCACACACCACGATCACCACCGGCCTTCCCCCCTTGGCCGCCGACCAGGCTTTCAAACGTTTCCGCAGCCGGGGAGAGTACACGAGGGCCAACGCCGCACCGCACGCCGGCTCCACCAAGAGCCGATGGTCCCGGAGGAAAGCCCGACAGGCTTGCACGGCCTCCGCATCCGTTACCACCTCACTGAGGGTGAGGCGTGGCCCTTTGTCCTGCCCTCCGTCCCGCCCTCCCGCCCGCCCTCCGCTTCTCGCGTACTCCAATGCCCGAGGCGTGACTTCCAACGCCCCCAGAGACGTGGCCACCGTTTGAATTTCCGTTAATCTCACTACCTCACCCGCCGCCAGACCAGCCGCAAAGGACGCGGCACCCTCGGTTTCCACGCCCACCACCCCTACGTCCTCCCAGCCCGCCCGGCCTTCGTACCGACTCAACCCTTCGTAAATCCCACACAACAACCCCCCCCCCCCACGCTCGCCACGATGGCCGCCGGCGCTTCCTCCATCCCGCCCTCCCTTCCTCCCTCCACCAATTCATCCACCAGCGTGCTGTGCCCCTCCCACAACAAGGGATGGTCGTAGGGAGGGATATAGGCCACCGCCTCGGGCCCTCCCTCCCTCCCTCCCTCCTCCACCACCCACCGGGCACGGGCGTCGGCTTCGTTCCAATTTTTCCCAAACACCTCCACTTTTGCCCCCTGGGCCCGAATTTTCTCCAACATCAAGGGTTTCGTCGTGGACGGGACGATGACCTGTACTGGCATGCCCAAGATACGGCCGCACAGGGCGGCGGAGAGGCCAGCGTTGCCGCCCGAGGAAGAGACCAGGCGTCGGGCACCCTGGCGTTGCAACGTGGAACACAAGGTGGCCATACCCCGGTCTTTGAACGAGCCAGAGGGTTGCAATGCGTCCAGCTTCAGATAGATGGGCGGCGACTGGCCAACATGCGCGGCAAGAGGGGATACAGTGAGTGCGAGGGGGGCGAGGGAAGGAGGGAGGGAAGGAGTAAGGGAAGAAGGGAAGGAAGGAAGGAGGGAAGGAGGGAGGGAATGAGGGAGGGAGGGAGGGAGAAAGGAGGGAGGGGCCTGATTCTCTGGGCATACGGTGAAGGACGTACGTTCTCCAGGCTAGACATGGGGTGGGAATAGATGAGAGGGGACTTTACTCGCATCGCCTCTTTTCCCGGGCTTCTTCGTGCACCAGTTCCCGTGGCTGCGATCCCTGGGCTTGGCGCCGCTGGTGTCGAGCTTGTGGATGGGTTTGTCGTGATATCGGCCATGATAGTAGGAGAGGCTGAGGGCGGTACGTAGGATAAGGTGGTGAGCCCTCGGCTGGACAAGCCCGTTGTGCTCCCAGTCAAGGCGACGGAGGCTGTCCCAATCATCTTCAGAAACCCCGTGCACAGGACCATGGCGCTTTTACGGAGATATTGCTGCGCTAGGGAGGTTAAGGAGAGCTCGACGTGTGGAAGAGGAAGAAAGGCTCTGTCGGCACCCAACCCCCCTGTCGTCAAAAACAGACGGTCAAGAAAACGGTCAAATAAAGTTTTACGGTGTAAAAAACTTACGTGCTACATTCTGATGCGGAAACTGTGAAGGAGATGAAGCGAGGACGGCGACATACGAGGGGGTCGGACAGTCTTAGGGGAAATACACCTCATGCAAAAAGAAAGGGGAATATGCAAGTGATTCCCGGGGGCCCGTGTTATCATCTCATGAAATTGGACGACGTAGGGGAAAGAAGACAGATATGATCAGACGGGATTCTATCAGGTATAAATGCGGCCTCGCAAATATACGCCATGTATGCCTAGGGCCCACCACTGACGTTCTTCGCGCCAGTCATCTTTAAATTAATTGCACCCTTTCCATGGCCAGCTAACCCCCGCCACCCGTCCCAACACGGGCGGTGCATTCACGCCACCTGCCTTGTTGTGTCTCCCCCGCATGAATGGGGAGAGCGTCGGAGCTAGAGTCAAAGGAAAGCGGACGGACATGGGGTTGGAGTATCTTGAGCGTCTTCTTGTGGTTGACTTTGAAGCTTTCCTTCCCTTCTTTTCTTTTCGTCCCGGACTCGACACACCGTATTCACCCGTTCAACCCCATGATGAACGGAAAATAATCCCGATACAGGCATACAGGCTGCCCGTCCGTCCTTCGATTCCCTTGGTGCGGCGCGATGAAGCTTTTTTCCATCCTTATGCTCGCGGCCACGGCTTCTGCCTTCCTCCCTCCCCTTCCTCCCTCGACCCCAACCTTCCGGCCATCCACGTCCTTGGGCATGTCCTCCTTGCTCATGGACGAAAACGCGGTGGCAGACCGCATTAAGGACGGATTGCTCATTCGCTACATGCCCGAGGTGATGATATGATGGGGGAGAGGGGAGGGATTTGGAATGGCTTAAAGAGATGCTTTCTATCTGTGATCATCTAGCCTGCGTGCAAGCTAACTGTCGCCGCGCATCATGGTTCGACAGCACGAGGTGCTCGTATCGTAAAGGTGTCTGTGTTTTTCAACCCCCCTCGGCATGACACATGCGTTGTGTCCACGGAGGCCTGCTATGAGGGTCCTTCTCTATCTCCTCCCGGGTGTATATCCCTGGCCCATGGCCCGCTCCATGCAAGCAACATGTGAAATATTCCTGCTCCACTCAAACTTTTGCATTATTTGACTCGAGTGTGCATCAATCGTGAATAGTGTAAGCTACAGGTATATGGCCATATGGGTGAGGCGTGTGAGCTTCGCCTCTTTTGAGAGCAGGCAGTGTGTTGCTATTTCCCTGTCCCTCCACTTTTATCTGCATGTTTTTCCTTACAATGTCCTTCCTGATGGTGCGTGGTGCCGAAAGGAAGCCGCTGTGATGCAGCGCGGACCGAGTCGGGCATTGCCCTCTTACTCGAGCCCGCTCCTAGTGAAAGTACAGCTAGAATGGACTCTTTCCCCGTCTTTTCCTGATAAGCTTCCGGTCCTATGGCCCATACCGGACGATCAACTGCGCGATGGGGACATGTTAGGATGGATCCGTTGCCTGGCCGGCGATGCGTTCCCTGATGTGTGGAGTGTAGCGGTGCCAGGGCTTGAGCACAAGAAGAGGGGGCTGGCCTTGGCGGGGGGCGTCTCCGCGGGGCCCGCTCCCTCCCGGCACATGCCAGTCTCGTCCATGTCACAAGCCTTTGTTTTTCTTTTTGAGATATGTGATTCATTTTTAGTTAGATTTCTGCGGCTTACAATTTGTTTTCAACGCGCCAAGAGGCGGTCTCTTTCTCCTGAAAGTCCCTCATGCCTCCCCTCCCTCCCTCCCTCCCTCTTTACCTCCTCCCTCCCTCAGGATATTCACAGGGTGCTCGCCTCCTGGAACCGCATGGTGGAGAACCAGCCGTTCGAGGACAAGGAGGCGCAGCGCTTCGCGACCTCGTACATTGAGGGGCTGGAGGCAAAGCCATGGCACGATGTCTCCAAGTACGCCCGCCCTCCCTCCCTCCCTCCTTCCCTCCCTCCTTCCCTCCCTCCCTCCCTCCCTCCCACTTTCCTTTGCTTCCTTCCTGTTGTTTCGTCGCGCCAAACCTCTCCGGGATCTTCCTCTCCCCTCCCCCTTCTCGCACTTCCCCCTCCCACCCTCGTCCTCGCCCTCCGCCCGCCCGCCCTCCCTCCTTCCTTCCTTCCCTCCTCCCCTGCCTCTTCCCTCCCAGGTTCCCCTGGCTGCAAAAGCTTGAGGAGAATGCGGGGGTAGTGCAGCAGGAGCTGAAAGAGGCCTTGGCTATGGGAGAGATGCTCGAGAAAACGGGGAACAACGTGTGGGTGGGCGCTCTGACCTCTGAGGGGGCGGCATACGGGCCCGACTGGAAGACCTTGGTTCTGCAGGTACTAGAATGGATTGGTGGGATTGGAGTTTTTTTGGGGGGGGATTCGGGAGAGGGAGGTCGTCAATGGCGCGGACCTGCGTGAAGTACTTGTCTCGTGTACATGTGAGTCTTTCATGTCCATCTATCTATTTCTCGTTGTCGTATTCATCTACATACGTACTTGCATGGGAGGGTCCACGTCTTTCATGCATCTATGCTGACATGCCGTTGGTGCCTGCGTGTAAAGAAGCCTTCCTCCTCTGTCCCTCTCCCTCCCCACAGGACCGGGCTTGGGACGAGACCAATGCCCGAATCTTCCCCAAAACCGTCCAGCTTCTTCGGGAAATTGGGGCCCCCACGGTGGAGGTCTTCTTTGCCAAGCAGAAGGGAAAGACGGGGATCCAGCCGCATTCGGACGGCTGCAACTTCGTCTTGACGGCTCACCTGGGTGTGGACGTGCCGGAGGGGGAGTGTTGGATCAAGGTGGGGGGGCAGAAGGAGGAATGGCGGAACGGGAAGGCTCTGGCCTTCGACACGCACTACTTCCACGAGACGGGCAATGCCAGCGACAAGGACCGTTACGTGCTTTTGATGCGGTTTTGGCACCCTGGTGTCACGCCCAAGGAGCGGGAGGCGTTGCAGTACGTGTTTGACGCCCTGGATGGGCCCCAGGCGCAAACGGACATGGATTTTGAATATTTGAACGGGCTCGCCGAAGCCCAGCTGGCGAGTCGACGGGTGGAGGAGGTTGAGGAGGATGGGTGAGGGGTAAGGCAATGGAGAGGAGGGAGGAGGCAACGGTGGGAATGGAAGGAGGAGCGGCAGCGGGCATGTAAGGGGGGGGGGGGTTGACGGGAATGCGGGAGGAGGAGGATGATGGGTAGGAAGATCTGGGAGGTAAAAGAAGGGGCGGTGACGCTCGCCTCGGAAAAACGCTGACAATGAAGGCTGTTGCAGGCCCTCCTGCTCGAGGAAAGAGGAGTGGGGAGGGAGAGGAAATGGTTTTTTGAATTTTGATTGAACGAGGATGAATTGTGTACTGAGAGTTGACGATGACTTGGGAAGTGCGGGGGAACGGGGTGAAAGGAGAAGGGCTTGAGGGATGACGGAAGGTGTCTCAGAGAGGCAGAGGCGGGAGGCGGGAAGCGTCATGAAAGAAGAGTGAGGCCTTCGACCGTCGATCGCTGCGAGACTCACAGGCGTGGAGAGGAAGCGCTCGATGTTTCCAACGGGTGCTTTCCTTTCTATTGAGGACGGTTCTTTTATGGGCGAGTGTACATGTCGAATCCCTCCCCGCATTGCTATTGAGTACAATCATGAGCTAATGTACATCGGTCAAGCCCCTTTCTCACGTCTGACACCTTTACACATGCGCCGCCCTC